TGAATCAGATCCATCTGAGTTCAGTTTGTGGTCCCCTGCTTTTCCTTGTGTGGCCTTAGGCAAGTTTCTACACTTCTCGGAGACTCTGTGGTCTCATCTGCAAACCAACAATGACAGTAGCACCTACAGCACAGGGATATTATGCCAAACTTGCAATGCCCTCGTCACTGTGTTATTGTGACCATTGGAAGGAAAATTAGAGCTTGCCTACTCTGACCCCACCTTCTATGCCCACCATATCTCTGCCACCTCTGGCAGACGGTGCAGTGGGGCAGACTGTCTCCTGGCCAGCAGTTTTTCCCCGCCCTCTGGCCACACTGCCCATGCTGCTTGAGAAGACAGCTTGGTGACATGCTAAGCCACCTGGAGTGGCTGGAACTGACCACACACTGAGTCCCAGGATGGGCCATGATGGACTGGAGCCAATCAGTGGATCCCAGACCTCTGACCCAAAACTTGTGTCCTGGATGGGATGCTGTCCACTCAGCCATGGAAGCACAGGTCTGGAGCCCACACACCATGTCTCCAGAGCCATCCTGGCTAACACGGTGAAACCCCATCTCTACTAAAAACACAAAAAACTAGCCAGGTGTGGTGGCAGGCACCTGTAGTCCCAGCTACTCAGGAGGCTGAGGCAGGAGAATGGCCTAAACCCAGGAGGCAGAGCTTGCAGTGAGCTGAGATCACACCATTGTACTCTGGCCTGGGCGACAGAGCGAGACTCCATCTCAAAAAAAAAAAAAAACAAAAACAGAAAACGAAACTGTGAAGTCCCCAGTAACATTGGCTGGCACATAAACCCACTCTGGATGTGGCCAGATGCAGCTGATTCTAGAGACATGTTGTGTCTGTTGATGTCTGATTGCATCTTAATGTGAAGCGATGGTTCACACTAACGGGATATCTGAGTGGGAAGGCAGCCTGGTCCAGAGGGCTCTGCACTTGTGATTTTACATGACATACACTTGCTACTGACGGCTCTTGACGCCATTGGGAACCACCAGCAGGAACAGATACGCAGTTATGCAACCACATCCTTTTTGTCCAGTGCTCCTGGCCAGCCTCAGACAGTGACCCAGCCCTGAGTTGACAGAGTGGATGGCCAGCAAGGTGTTGGCTTGGATATCTCAAAGCAAGGCTGATATGGTTAGGTTTTGTGTCCCCAGCCAAAGTCCATCTTGAGTTATAGTCCTCACAATACCCACCTGTCGAGGGCAGGACCTAGTGGGAGGCAACTGGATCATGGAGGCAGCTTCCCCATGCTGTTCTCATGTTCGTGAGTGAGTTTTCAAGAGATCTGATGGTTTTACAAGGGGCTCTCTCCCCTTCACTCATACACACTTCTCTTGCCTGCTGCGATGTAAGACATGCCTCTTCCCCTTCCGCCAAGATTGTAAGTTTCCTGAGGCATCCCCAATGCTGTGGTCCCTTTGCCATATCTCCCACCGCTCTCAACAGGGAATTGCACTGGACTTCCAACAAGGAAGAGAGATGGCCTTATCCCCATTTCACAGATAAGGAAACTGAGCATCAAGGAATGTGCAACCAGCAGGTGGCAAATACCAGTCTTTTCTTTATAAATGACCCAGTCTTGGGTATGTCTTTGTAGCAGTGTGAAAATGGACTAATACAAAAGCCGTCTCACCACCCCTTGCTTGCATGGGCCATTGATTTGGACTTGCCATCAGGGCCCAGCGACCCTGGCCGGGCATCCCTTGGACCACTCCTCACACTGCCCAGGCTGACAGGGGATGACCCTTGAAAGGCCCGGCTCCCTCTCTACACAGCTGCTAGGCTTATGAGCTCTGAAAGGTGCAGGCCTCCAAGAGCCTCCATTTGACCCTTGATGATGAGAGGGGAAGAAGAGCCATCTCTCAGCCCACGGTTGGAAGGAAGTGGGCTTCATACTCATTTGCATAGCTCCTCTCAACCTGGCCATTCCTCTCAACTTGGCCCCTTCCTTTTTCAAGTAGCAAGGAAAAAGGCTGAGAGAACCAGGGGAGGGAGGCTCTTAGGAGGTCTTTAAAAGGGGCTATTTTGTTTCATTTATCTGAAAAGTCACACCATGCATGGTGAAGGGGGAAGAAGGAGAAGAGGAGGAGAAGGAGGACTCGTGGAGGATGACTGGCACCTGGGAAAGCAGATCCCCTCAACCTCTGGCTCCGTGAGTGACACAAACGTCTGTTCTGGGACATCCTGCAGGAGGTGGCTCTCCCTGACTCGAGCTGAGCCTGCTCACCACAGTGTCTGGTGTGCATGATATTTCTCTTATTTGCTAGGTTCAAAGCTTTGTGCCCACAGCTTCTTTGCTGGTTCTTTCACACATCTGCCCAGGGCCCAGGCCTGCCACGTCCAGAGTGCTTCCTGACCCCCACATGCCTGTCACCTCCTTCAGTTCTCTGCTCACTCATCACCTCCCCATGGAGCTCTTTCCCCAGCCCCGCTGCCTGGCCCCATCCAGACTTCCTCACCCATAGCGAGCTCTGCCTGCGCTGGCTCCCTGTATAGACTGGCTCCTCTTCTGGGAGGCCGGAGCAGTCTGGTTCAAGGTATAAGACCCTCCTCTGCTCTGTAACTGCTGTGGTTGAGAGGCCTAACTCGAACCCCAGGTACAAACCAGAGTCACAACCAGGACATTCAGCCACACACATGAGTTTCCCAGGACAGGGCTATACCCTGCACAGCAACCCATGTGTAGAAGTCTCCTGGAGCTTCCGTAACCAATGACCACAATGGGGAAATATATTCCCTCCCCGTTCTGGAGGCTCAAAGTCTGAAATCAAGGTATCAGCAGGGCCATCCTCCCCATAGAGGCTCTGTGGGAGGACCCTTCCTGGCCTCTTCTAGCACTGGTGGCTCTTGGTGTTCCTTGGCTTGGACACATCACTCCGAAGTCTGCCTTCATTTCACATGTTTTTTTCCTCTTCTTTCCCTGTCTCTGCTCTGTGTGCCTATTTTTATTTTGTATTCTTTTGAGACAGGGTTCTGCTCTATCACCCAGGCTCGAGTGCAATCCAGCTCATTGCAGCCTCAAACTCCCAGGCTCAGGTGATCCTCCTGCCTCAGCCTCCCAAGCAGCTGGGACTACAGATGCATGCTACCATGCCCAGCTAATTTTCTTTTTCTTTTAAAGATGGGGTCTCGCTATGGTGCCCCAGCTAATCTCAAGCTCTAGCGCTTAAGAAATCCTCCTGCCTTAGCCTTCCAACATGCTGGGATTACAGGTGGGAGCCACCATGCCCTGTCTATTTAAGGATACTCGTCATTGGATTTAGGGTCCACCTGGAGGATCCAGGAAGATCTCATATCAAGATCCTTAACTTAATCACCTCTGCAAAAACTCTTTTTCCAAACAAGGTCACATTTATAAGTTCTTGGTGTTAGCACACATATCTTTCTGGGGATCACTATATACTTACAAATAATAAAATTGTGCACATTGTATAAACACTGATGGCATGCCAGACAAAGTGTTACATACTTCACTTTTGTTTGCTCATTTGATCTGATAGTCCCTTTGCCATATCTCCCCCCACTCCCAACAGGGAGTTGCACTGGACTTCCAACAAGGAAGAGAGGTGGCCTTATCCCCATTTCACAGATAGGAAACAGCATCAAGGAGTGTACAACCAGCAGGTGGCAAATACCAGAACTCAGATGCGTGTCTTCCAGGCTTCCAAGGCTGTGCTCCCACATACTCTGCAGCAACTGCCTTGCAGATGAAGGGGCTGGGGCTCAGAGGCTTGCCCAAGTCCCCATGACTGAGAAGTGATGAACACAGACCTGAAATTCCACTGCTTCCCATTCCATGCTCTTGCTGCTATAAGATGCCTCCTCCTCAGGGTCCAAAGAGGATAGAGCAGCCTCTGGTCAGATGGCACCATGTGCTGGGTTACAATGCAGAAAATCTTCCCTCCCTTCTTCCTGGGGCCACTTGCCTCATCCCACTGAAGTCTTGCCTCATCCTACTGAAGCAGGGCTTGGATAAGTAGCTTGTTCAGGCCAATGGAACATAAGCAGAGACAACATGCCAGTCCTGAGCCAAGCCTAGAGGGCATCTGGTGCTTCCTCATGGCCTGTTGTGTTCCTACTGTTACCACAAGAAACCATGCCCTGGGTAGCCACTAGTTCAAGGATAATGGGAGACTCAAGGAGTAGAATTCAACCCAAATCATAGCCTGGAGCCTGGAACCTGGAGCCAGGAGCTGGGAGTCCGGAGTCCAGCCTAGCCCAGCCGTGGTGCCGGGCAACTCTCTTACTGGCTCGTAAGTGATAAATACCCATTGTTTTCAGCCTCTGGGTTATGGAAAGATTTGTTATTCCAACATTGCTAACTGATACAGATAGGTCTAAATTTGGATGGTTAACAAATATGGAATATATCTTAAGAATAACAGATTATTCTCTGATTCAGAAAAAAAAAATGTACAACATAAAATCCGAAATAGATGGCCCCATGCTAACTAAAACCAATACGCAAGCTAGCTCCTTACAATTTAAAAGGGAATTGGAATTTGAGATGGGACAGGGGTTTTTCATTTGAGGTGTTTTGAATGGAAGCATCAAGATCTCCACAAATGTACTTCTCACTTTTTAAAGGCTTTTGTTTATACCTAACACTAAACTGATGTTAGATTGAAACATCAATTGACAACCTGATATGGTCAATGAAGAATGTTCAACTTACATGGAAATCCATGTACAAACATGGGCCTTCTATTCAGCCAGTCCCAATTGAAAATTTTCATCTCAAAATTCACTCTAATATGTGGATTGTGTTTATTTATGGGTGACAGCTAATTTGCTTTCTTCCTGTAATAAAATAATTAAAATATTTTGCTCTCTGAGTTGTATTTTTTCAGGGTAATCCTTTCATTAAAAGTCATTTAATATCCTTCTGTTCTGTTATCTGCTACATTTCAACTTTTGTGTTTTCTCTGCTTTCCTTGTCTTCTGTCATATTTCCCCTTTTTGTTCTTTTGTTATGATGGCTTATTTTCTGCCCTAAAACAAGCTTTGAACTTAAAAACCTGAAAAGCATTTTATTTGGAATAAAAGAATCCGCAGTGTCACACATTTGTCAGCTAATATGTTCCTTCCTATGCTTTGTTTTAATTTTTTGGAGTGATTGTTTATGAACGAAGCCTTTGGTTTCTCGGAGGCTGGTTTGGTCTTTCTACCCATTCTTCACAGAAAACGATAATCCTCCTGATAGCATAATCATCACCGTAGCAACCGAAGGCGATGTCACCAACAGGATTATGACTTAAGAGCCCAGATTTGCATCTCACACCCGCTACTTACGCGCCAGGGGCCTCTGTGGATGCCACTCCACAGCCTCGTGTGTTAAGAGGCACACAAGAGCTGCCTGATTGGCTCCCAAGCTCAGAACCAGGAGCCAGGGAAATCATAGCGAAATCAGAACCTGATGTGGCCCCGTCAGCATCACGCGCACACTCAGAGCAAAATGACCTGCTCTTCAATGTAATTTGGTTTAGTTTAGTTCAGTTGTCCTGCCCACCAGCTCCTGACCCTCCCGCCACTGAGGGGTGGTATTTGAAAGCACAGGTGAGTGCTTCATAGGTACCAGGTGCATGATCTAATTCTGGGTTCCTCAATCTTTTAACAGCTTGGGAAGAACAAATCAAAGGACTGATGCTCGCCTGGGTTTGGATTCCTCCTTTAGACTTTGGCAAGTTACTTAACTGAGTAAATCCTCAATTTCCACCATGACAAAGGAAAGATGGTGTGCGACTATTATGTTTTTATTCCGGATTGAACTACTCAGTATGTTCACAAGACCACTGAAGGCAGCACAGGGAAGTTCGTGTGGGTTGGTGCTGTGCTCATCAAGTCCACAGACACCTTAGGGGTTGTCAGGATATTATTGGGTCTTCTAGGTATCCCAGTGGTTTGGTTGGTGATTGCTCACCCATTTCACAGATGGCAAAACTGAGGCTTAACGGAGTTTCCTGTGATGCTCCAGATCACAGAGCTAAAAGGAGTAGAGTGATGGCTCAGACGTGGGCCTCCCAGCTCAAGTTCTGTGCTCTGGACAGAAAGTCAGGGTGACCCTGAAGGACGAGGCAGCTGTGCAGGGACAGGATAGGCCCATCCTGGAAGGCTCATTGGCTGAGGGAAAGAGGATACAAGGGAAATAATTCCCTTTCATCCATCCATCCCCGCTATTGCTCCTAAACTTCCCTTCCATCCCCAACTTCTTTCCTTTCTTCTCCTTGGGACAGCAACGGCACAGAGAGTGGGCCGCCATCTCTTACTGCCCACTCAACCATTGCTGGGGACTGATTCTTTCAGCTCTACATAGAATTCAAGAACTATATTTGGATCTGCTTCACAACAGTAATCCCCACAACCTTAAAACATGCAAAATAAAAATAAATTAATCATCCATCAGCATTTTACAGTACATTTATAATTTTTTACTTAAATGTTTAACATCATAAAACAAGCTTGGCTCATGGAGAAAACTTGATTTCATGAGAAGAAATTGCTCTCTTTTAAGTGAAAGTAAATACTCCTTAGGGCATCCCCAGAGAGGAAATGAAGATGCAGGAAGGTGGTCCCAAGTTGGCCAAATCTGGCAATTATTCTCTCAAAGGCAGCAATGTGTCACAGCAAAATGCAACAATTCCCTCAGTAACCGGTGGGACTGATTTATGAGCAAAAGCAAAGACATTGTTCCCCAAACAACCTTTGAGTTACTAACTCCCTGAGAGGGAAGACCATAGAAGGAGGGGGACCCAGGAGGCTCAGGGATGCAGACCAGCTCTGAGAAGGACCTGTCTGTCACCTTTCCTCAGGGTTCTGTTACTCTGAATGGCAGATCGCCATCACCTTCAAGCCCTGGTCTTGTTCTCTGATTGGTCATTCTTAGACAGAGATAGGCTGCCCATTAAGACCCATTGTTCTGACTCTGAAATGAAGGAGAATGAAGCAATTAACATCTTGGCAGTGGGCAGAATTAATCATGCTTGGCCATTTTATTTAAGTTCTCCCCGCAAATGCAGCACCGAAAGGCACTTATTAGTTCACACAAAGAGGCATCTCTGAACAGCAAACATTCAATTATTCCGATGTTTACTGTTGAGAAAACCACAAAAGAAAATATGCATTCAACAGACACATTCTGAAAGGTCTTATAAAAATGAGGCTATTTTCACAGTTTCTAAGGCATATCCTATAATTTTGTTTTTTAATCATTGCAACCTACTGGATTCAATATTAGATTCTTATTTCTACCTCTCCAAACCCTCATCATAGTCTTCTGGCCATTCAGCAAAATACATTACATTGCAAAGCTGAACGTAAGCATAGTCACCTTACATTCAGCTTTGCAATGTCTTACCTCCACTGTCACCAAACTAGTGAGCACCTCAGATCAGGTTAAGGAGAAACAACACATGAGATTTGTAGACTGTCTTCCTCTCTCCCATGACCATAGTGGTCATGTGGTTGCATTGATTACCTGATTAATGGCCTCCTCGTATCCCTCTCCCACTGACTCTGGGCTCAGCCAGATGACTTTCTATGGCCAATGGATGTTAACAAATGTGACCCGAGCCAAGTTCTGAAAAGATATTCACTCTCTTTGACCTCTGCCACCACCAAGAGAAAATATTCAGGGTTGATTGACAGAAAAATAATCTAAAAGATATCTAGAGGAGATTGGACTGGCCTCCAGAACCACCCTGGACCAGCAGCCCCCAACCAACATGCAACTGACTGCAGCACAGCGAGCCACCCCACTAGAGGCAGCTGAGCCTGGCTCAGATCAGCAGAACTGCCCAGCCAATCCAAAACTCAAGGAAAAATAGTGAATGGTACTTCTTTCAAGCCATTCAATGCTGGGATAATTTGTTATGTGGCACTATTGAGGCAATAGGTAGCTGATACAAACCTAACCCCAGTTGCCATTCATTAAGCACATGTTATGTGTCAGGGATGGTGCCTGACACTTTACAGACACAACTCTGATCTGCCCAATGATGCCACCATTCAGGTGTCATTATTCTCATTTATATAGATAAGGACACATGTCTTACACAGTAGAGTTTAGTAAGCATGTGAGAAGCTATGTTTGGACCCACAGCAGTCTCCTCTTCTCTCAAGTCACCTGGATCCTCAGTGACAAGCTACCCTGAATCCCGGGCTCTGGTGCCCCCCTCTGAGCATAAACAGGTCATCCTGTGAATACCAACAACCTCATGTTGACCAGGAAGGACTAAGCCGTGCCTCTGAAGTGCTGGCACGTCACGTGGCCAGTCCTGGAAATGTTATACGGGCTTGAGCAAAGCCCACCTTGAATGTCTAAAAATAAACATGGGCCAGGAGTTCCTATCTGCAGCCACTCATCAGCATTTTATCCTCCCAGCTCACCCACTCATCACACTGTGAAATGGGATTGCTCCAAACAAACCCATACAAGGCAGATGCCCAGCCCATCACGCATGCCCAAAGATGGGGGAAGTGAAGGTCGCTCTCCCACAGCAGGCCTTCCCCCGAGATCACCCTCTTCTGGCATAAATAGAGTGTACCTGTGGTGGACCAAACTCATCCAACTCTCGTTCTGAACGTCCTCCTGGCAGAAGCTGGCTACTCTTAGCTGAATTCTGCTTTGTTCCCTGCTAGGCACTGGCCTGGATGCCATGAAAGGGCCAGGAGCTTGCCAGTCCTCCTCACTGTATCTGCAACTTTTAAGCATTATAAGAAATACAACAAGTGTTTGTAGACGAATAAGTGGTCTAAATGTACATATGGAGAGTTTTACAAGCAATGCATCACAACTCTAGCACACACTTATTTACCTCTATTAGTGTTTCTTGGCTTTGATTGCACACTAGAATCATCTGAGCTGTTCTGAAAAACACAAATGCACAGCCCCCATCCTGGAGCAACAAAACATCCTGGGCTATTTGAAAGATTCCTGAGTAGAGCTGTTGCTTGAATTCTCTCTGGGTCAATCTGATGTGCAGCCAGGGTTGAAGGCTACCCTTCTCTCCTATTTCAATTTAAACACAGAATTTTAGCCAACTCCTTTCTAACCCTCATGATGTGATGTCATCTCTCCAGGGAGATTTTGCAGTGTTCCCAGGAGAAGGCCCAGCAAAACTTGCGGCAAGAGGAAGTAAAAATCCTGCCCCTGCCCCTTCTATCCATGCCTGCAGGCGGCTGCACACACTTGTTTTCCCTGCAGCTGCTTGCACAAGTAATGGCTTCCAGGATAACCAATGAGCTGGAATCAGGAAGATGTGGCTGGGGGAGGGGGCTTCTCATCTGTAAGCTGGGGAGACCTGTGGCGCCTTACATGGACTCAGCTTCTTACCAGTCCCCGAAGGCCCCGGGATTTTCAAATCTGAAGCACAAGGTGGAAACTCTCCGGCCCCCTCCCTGTTGTCCTCCATGAGCTCCTGGGCCCGTTAGTCTCAGAGCAAAACCACAGCTGGTGGGACTTAGCAGATTTTGAGAGCATGTTTATTATGAATATTGTCCCTTTCAGGCAAGTTAATGAAGCATCCAATTCATGCCAGCTTTTATCTGTCAGAGAAACACCAGCGAGCAAGGTAGAGACACCAAGCCAAACCCTGATGTGTAAGTATGAACTTCATGTTAATTAGGAAACGGGAGAATGTGTGGGTTTCTCTAATGCAGACTCACGATACGAAGTCAGCTGACTCAAATGCTCTCAACCTGAGCTTCGGGTCATTTGTGTTAGCTCTAAGGTCATCTGAGGCAGACACATTGAACCTGACCTTGAGAGTATCCTTGACCACTTGACCAAGAGGCCAGAGACTCTACAAGTGTGCTCAGGCCGGACAACTTCCTGTGCCTGGCAGGAAGACTCAAGATGCCAGCTTCTCCCCTAAACCATGTGAACTCATCAACATGCAGCCATTTTAAACTATAAAAACGGCAATTTCAACTGAAACAGTGGACCATTGCCTATTTTACTGGAAATTTCTCTCTTAGAGTATGATGGAAAGAGGATTGGGTGTAAGAGACCTGGCTGCAAGGCTCACCTCCACTAAGTGACCATAGATATTTTGGACACTAATGTACCGTGAGTCACCTTATTCCTTTGGCCCACAGCTTCTTCATCTGGGAAAGGAAGACATTGGATTGTAAAGTAAGAATAACCCACATTTTTTATCGTTTGCAATATGCTAGGCAATGTGCTAGTTACTTAATTATCAAAGAGACAATTAAGATTGAAAAGTAGTTATTAACTAACTCTTCACCAACCCAGCAGGTGGAGACTGTCATTATTCCCATTTATTAGATTGGGTCATTGAGCTCAGGATGGTGCATGTGCTGCATCTGAAAGGCTGGGGTCTGGTGCTCACTTCTGGGCTGTTGATGACTGGGTTCAGATGCATCATTGTGCATCCCTTTCTTAGCAGAGGATTCCTTGCTGCTCTACTATGGACAATGTATTGCTTTACAGTCTTTTCACTGGAGACCACTCACCTGCAGTGACATTTGTAGAAAGCAGTCTCTAAGCTGCAAAGCCCTGCCTGTCACCAGACCCACGTAGAGGGAATCTCACTTGCTTTATGATGTCCAGAGTGCTCCTCATGTTGCCCTGTGGGTTTTATTTTCCTGTTGTCCACTGGATATGGCCTACTGGCATTTAGCATGAATTTCCAGCTCCTCCACAAGCTCTTCTTGTACTACTAAGGTTGAAAAATTAAAAAATACATTTTCTAGAATCTCTTTGTGGTGAACTGATAGAAACGTAGTCCCCAATGATCCCCACCCCCTGGTATTCATGCCCCTGTGGAATCCTGCATCTCCATCAGTGTGAGGTGAGCTAGTGACATGTTCTAGCCAATAGGATGATGGGATGACACGTGTAATTAAGGGGATAAAATTTCACTTCCTTGATTAGCTTACAAGAGATTGTAACCTCCATCTTGCCAGTAGACTCTCTCTGGCTATCTCAGCTTCCAGGATGTAAGCCCTCACATTGTGGAGTTCCCTGTGGTAAGGAACTGGAGTGGAGGGTGGCTCCATGCAACAGCCAGCAAGGAACTGAGGTCTCTGTCACCCTTGGAGCAACTGAGCTTACCAAGAACCCGAGTGAGCTTGGAAGCAGAGCTTTCCCCAGTTGGGCTTTCAGATGAGACGTCAGCCCCAGCTAAGGCACCATGATGGTAGCCACAGGAGGAATGGGACACAGCCAAGCCCACTTGGATCCCTGATCCACAGAAATCGATAAATGTGTGCCAAGTTTGCTGTAATCTGTTAAGCAGGAATAGGTCACAAACACACCTTCACCCACAGATGAGATTGAGTTCGGTCAAGCAGAAAGATGCTTCCCAGGGGGATGTGGAAGAAATGAGGCCATCTCCTGGCTTCCCATGGCTGATTCTGCCAGCACCAGCACTTGTGTCAGGCCACCAACTGAGCAGGTATGGAGAGGACATTACAGCCTCCATAGCTGCATGATACTGTCCAGGTGTCCTCATAGTTACAACGGTGGCAGCAGATTCCTGAGCCCCATTGCCCAACCAAGAGATCTCTGTTTTCATGTATTGTTGGGATCAATAGTTCCATGGCAGTCTCCTGATTCCTCACTTTCCTGATGGTGAAAGAAATGGCAGCTGCCTGGCAGGTCATTCTGCAACACACACTCACTCTGCAAGGTGGCACGTCTCTGAATCCCCAGAGTCCACTTCTCCTTCCATCTGATAATTTCATGAGCACTTGATTCCCTGTATTCAGCCACTTTCACCTCAAGTAGTTTCTGTTTCCTGCGTGGAGCCCTGAAGGATCCACCTGGTATCTGGATAGTTTCCTAGAAAGTGAGGAAAGTCCTTCAATTTTCTCACCACAAACCTGAGTGCTTTTTCTCTGTGAGAATTCAAGAGACTTTGAATCTTGGCCAAACACAAATTAGACAACATAATCCTACCTCAAATACATATGGGGCTCTATCATTTACCAAGCTGTGCCATAGAACTCCTTTCTTTTACACCCTACACAACTTTATGAAGTGGGTGTACTTCCTCCCTTCGCCATTTTATAAATGAGAAAACTGTGGCTCAGAAGCAGAACATATGCTGACCAGCTGGGAATGACAGAGCCAGGACTCCACCCAGATTCTACACTAGCTTTAATGCTTTCTTCCCTCCATATGATGGCAGTTGCTGTGATTTATTATTCTTGTGACTTCACCAATGATGCCATGCTTAAACCGTCCAGCTTCTACAAACATGAACCACAAGGTGGAAATGGCCACTCAGTTTGACTTTTTGGACATTATTTTCTCAATCCCATCCCCAGGATGCTTACTTGACTGCTGTGTGAGAACTGGCTTATCCACTTGTGTTTGTTTTGTTTTGTTTTGTTTTGTGTTTTTTTTGTTTTGGTTTGTTTTTGAGGCAGGGTCTCACTCTGTTGCCCAGACTGGAGGGCAGTGGTGCAATCATGTCTCACTGCAGCCAAAAGTTCCCGGGCTCAAGCAATTCTCCCACCTCAGCCTCCTGAGTAGCTGGAACTACAGAAGCATGCCACCACCCATGGTTAATTTTTGTACCTTTTGTAGAGATGGAGTTTCACCACATTGCCCAGGTTGGTTGTGACCTCCTAGGCTCAAGCAATATGCCCACCTCAGCCTTGCAAAGTGCTGGGATTACAGGTGTGAGCCACCATGCCTGGCCCCATCCTCTTGTTTATTTACAAACATACAAGTGGGTGCTAGCAACAAGATCAGGGCGCTTCTGATCCTTCTCTCACCAGGGTGAACAGATTTGGAGGCATGTGCACTGCCCAGCTCATCTTCTTCCTTTGCACACAGATGGCACCCTCTAATGCAGCCCCATGTCCATGGAGCTGTGCTCATTCAGAGGAAGTGCCTTTCCTGAATTTATGTGTCCCAACTGTTGTTTTTCTCTAATTTTCCCAGTGTATTAGTCTGTTCTCACTCTGCTGATAAGGACATACCTGAGACTGGGTCATTGATAAAGGAGAGAGGTTTAATTGACTCACAGTTCCACATGGGTGGGCAGGCCTCACAATCAGAGCTGAAGGTGAATGAGGAGCAAAGGCACATCTTACATGGTGGCAGGCAAGAGAGCTGGTGCAGGGGGACTCCCCTTTGTCAAATCATCAGATCTCATGAGACTTACTCACTATCACAAGAACAGCATGAGAAAGACCCACCCCCACGATTCAATTACATACCACTGCGTCCCTCTCATGAACATGGGAATTATGGGAGCTACAACACAGCCAAACCATATCAGCTAGTCTCCTATCAGCTGATGGCAGCCTTATCTAAGCTGAAGATACAGCTGTGAACAGAACATTTTGGAGCTCCTCAAGTAGTCTGTCCATCACCAAGAAGGCTTCCTAATGTCCTTGAGATCCATTTCAACACTTCAAACATTCTTTCTTCTGTAAAGAGTTCCTTCCTATTCTGTGTGTTCAAGAGACCAGAATTAAGAGCAATGGGCAGGCCAGACATGGTGGCTCACACCTGTAATCCTAGTACTTTGTGGGACTGAGGCCGGAAGATCACTTGAGCCCAGGAGTTTGAGATCCAGTCTCAACAACAAAAATTTAAAAATTGAGCATGGTGGTGCACCCTGAAATCCTAGCTACTTGGGAGACTAAGGCAGGAGGACTGCTTGAGTCTGAAAGGTCAACGTTACAATGAATTATGACTATGCCACTGCACTCCAGCCTGGACAACAGAGTGAAATCTCATCTCAAAAAATAAAAATGAGCAATGAGTGGAAATGTCTGGGAGACAGATATGAGGGTAGGGGAAATGCCTGATTATTCAAGCTTGCTGGAAAGCACCTTCTCTAAAATTAATAGGGCCCAATCTCCAGGGAAGACTAGGCAGAGCCTGGACACCATGGAACAGTTCACAAGGAAACAGCATGGTCTTTGCAGGAAGCACCATCTTAGCCAGTGACATTCCGGGAATCCCCATAAGTCCCTCCTTCTCGACACTTTAGATCACCTTTCAGCACATTCACACGACCACTGGGTGGGGAATATTCTCTAAAGTAATTGTCTTCATCTCTGACCTCATTCCATGGTTGCGATAGACAGGCCAAGTGCCTGAAGCCGTGGTCCTCGGACCATTTTACCTTTTAACTGATCTGCGACAGGAAGCAGGTGGACCAGGAGACATCTGTTGCTTGTGTTTCTTGCAACCAGGCAAATGGTAAGTTGCAAAGATGGGGAAAAAGGTTCATTTTTAAAGTAAAAGGCAATATGCTTCCTTGACTATATTGTGAACATTTCGTATGCTAGTGGGATGTAATTGGGTTTTCTAAACACCTTACCATCTGATTCAGACTCGGGAGGACTTTAAAGAGACTTGAAATAAAAATTTCCAATTGTCTCTCAGAGCCCAAGCCCAGAAGCCTAATTACCTGCTGAAACTAATTGCTCCCATCTGAGCCTCCTGCTGTAACTCCCCACAAAGGGCATGAAAATGAGATGGGTCAGGAAAGTTGCAGGCCAGAGCCAGGAGCCCAGGAAAGCAAGACGTGCTCACAGGCGAGAGCTTGTTAAGTAACTTCTCTTTGAGCGGCTCCTCACCGAGCCAGCCAGAGAGAGAGAAGCCGTCTTCCTCTGAAGGTGCCCGGAATGACTCACAAATTTCATTGAAAGTGGCAGGAGGGAAGCAGGCTCTGGATAAAACGATGCATGCACACACACTTTGATCTCAATCAAGGCGCTCTACAAGGGGACCGTGGTGACAACACTCAGAGAGAAGCTGACACCGAGGAGAACAACGCCCAGCTTCAGAATGGGAGCCCACCTTGCCTCCTCCCCCGGGCTGCTGCAGAGAAGTTTTGTCAGAAGGCCCACATCTGCACCTGAATGTGGGCAGCATCCAAGGGTCACAGTCTGTATCCCCAGGGGACATGTTGAATTGTAACAGTTTTTCTTAGCACCTGCGCCGGCTCCCCACTCCACTTCCCTGCTTCTCTGTTGGGCTCCAGTCTCATAGAAACCCCTCTCTGTGTGTGAAGGAGCTGCAGAAAAAGAAATGGGTCCTCCTGCAGAATGAATTCCCAAACGCAGCACCAATGCTTTCCATTCTTCACACCCCACTTCCAACAGTCAGCAGATGTGGTCAGCACTACTGGATCAAGACTCTGAACCCTTCTCCCATTCCACTTTCCCACCCGGAGGCAGGCCACCATCATACTCGACCAAGACAATGGCAGCCAGGGATGCTGTGGTATTCCCATGATCCTGATGAGCCAGCCACTGTGGTCTTAATGGCTCCGTCTTCCATTGGCTACATCTATCTGTCATCTGTTTGTCTATCTAAATATTTTATATGTATGCTAAATGACCGATATTTTACATATATACATATGAACGTGCATATATGCATATTTGCATGTATGTATATACATATATATATATGCCTATATAAATATTTTAACAGTTGTGTTGGTAAAAAGACAAACACAATCCAGACAGGATTGTATTCCTTTGCTTCTTTTCTTTTGTTTTGTTTTTATTGAGACAGGATCTTGATCTGTTGCCCAGGCTGGAGTGCAGTGCTGTGATCATGGTTCACTGCAGCCTCATCCTCCTGGGCTCAAGCAATCCTTCGACCTCAGCCTCCTGAGTAGCTGGGACTACAGGTATGCACCACTACATCTAGCTATTTATTTTTTATTATTTTTTGAGGAGATGGGATCTTGCTACGTTGCCCAGGCTAGTCTCAAAC